TTAAATGTGAGCATTTGTCATCTAATAATCAATTTCATTTACTGATGTGTAGTAAAAATCACAATATCTTAGTTCTTTGAAATCTGAACGAAAACTAATTGGCAGAGAGTAAAAAATCTTAAATGTAAGTAAAAAAAAACCCACTGGAAATACATACAGCTCTACAAACTGTTTAAGCTCACATGGTTTTTCACACAAATTAAGGTCACATTGTTATGATATAAGATTGTGTATCGATACAACAAAATACATTTTAAAAGTATTTTGTTTACATAATTTGAGTTTTATTTCATTTTACTGAAACATAATTCACACAAATCAATTGGTAGAACTTTGATATATTCATGGCTGAAAAATAAAAACTATTCTCATTTGAATTTTTGTAGTTTCTTGCCAGTTGTAACTTTTCCTTTTTATGCGTTCTTTTGAAAGCAATAGCTCTTGGCAGAAACGTAGACATGGATACAGTACAGCTACTGTAACTTGTATTATCTGTACATTTTGACTCTCTAACTCGGGATGGTAACAGTATTTTTCATCTGTTTAGCAGCTTTCTATGTTAATAAGGTTGGATTTTTAAGAGTCAACTTCTAAAATCTAGAATCATGAAAGATTCATCCAACTGCAAAATTTTAACGTTTCAAACCGTAAATGCAGAAGAATTTTCCTTTTCACAGAAGGAATTTACTATTCAAAAAAATAAACAATACTTCATTATCCTACACTTTAATATGGTTTCCTTTTGCAATGTTATCCCTTTTCGGCGCTACATTTCGACGAAACAAAGAGGAGTATGGTAAATGAGCAAAGATTTTATAAAAATACTCACCTTTAAGAAGAAAATTGAAAATTTCAACGACATGGGATCAAGGAAAGCTCATTTTATACAATTTGTAAAAACCTATGGTAGTATCGTATAGTCGAAACATCCTACCATTTATTTATAAATTTTCCTTTAAAACATCCACTTTGGAAACTCAAGATAATGATTTTAAAAGACATTTATGCTTGACATTATGTATGTAATATAACGAAGGGTAATGCTATTGTACTGTAGTTCCAAAATGGTTATTTTTATTACAACAATGTGACCTTAAATTGTGCAAAAAACCATGTGAGCTTAAAAAGTTTGTTGAGCTGTATATTTGCCGCCGAATAGAGGTAGACAAAATAAGTCCAGATACATATTTAACACTTTTTTCTCTGCAGAACAAATGATTAAGGTAGAGGAGAGATAATTTTGTGCTGATTCGCAGTCCGGATGTTCAAATCTCAAAGTCGGTTACGTTGAAAAGTTTTACTCGCAACATAAGAAATTGTATTCAACGAGCGACAAAATTGAATGAGGATCTTTCTCCTTAGGCGTAGTTCCATCTTCAATATTTTGTTAAGTCGACTGTTCATGATAAAGTCATAGAAGCAAAATTGGTTTCAATCAGTATTTAATAACACGACGATATATCTTTTTAAAAAGTGCAATGAGCAGAGGGACGAAAGATAGAGAAGCAATGACGTCATCAAACAAAGGCGACAAACAAAGTAGGGTCATCAAACTAACGATAAAATAGCATACTGTTTAAAGTATGATGGTGATTTCTTTTTTCAACACTTCCTGTAACTTTTTGTTTCAAGTTCTTTTAAATATTTTAGCGGCATGAATCTCATGGCATCAGTCCACTAACATATGAAAATCCACCAATAAACAACTATTTTCTCTAATAAATATGATTTAAAAAAAAAAGATTTCAAAAATACGAATCAAATATTTGCCATTAATAATGAAAAATAAATTAGTAAGTATGGTATACTATCACATGTAGAACAATAAATTGCATTTTGCGTTTGTGAGAAAAATTTCATGAACTTACATAATGAAAAATGCATGTTAAGTATAAGTCACATTATCCAACGATGGGGTTTACGATGAGAAACCGATGCGTTTTTGATGAAAATGGCGTGGTTGCCGGCCGGGCATCACTAGTTATCGGACGGTGACTGAGTCTTTTTTTGCGAATCGGTGGGGTCATCGGTAGGGAATAATTCGTAGTTAAAATTCAGCGATGTCTCCAACGATGCCTCACATCGCTCCTCATCGGCAACCCATCTTTAAGACATCTTTCAAGGATCGGCCGATGTATGGCCGAGCATCGTCCAATATACGTTGAATCTGAGGTCATCGGGGAGTTTAGTGGTGTTCAACAGATAACGACCGATCATCGGTCGATGTTCGACCAAACATTGGCCCGTAGTCGACCGATGTACGAACAATGTTCACCAATGTGTGAGCGATGTGATATACATCGGCCGATTATCCTGGAACATCGTTTTATGATTAGCATTGCATTGCTGGGTCTTTGTAAGTCCGGTCGGCAACCACGTCATTTTTCTCATAAAACGCATTGGTTGACCATCGTATACCCATCGCTGGATAATGTGACTGATACCTTAAGAACTACTTGGCCGATGTGGACCGATGTTCGGGCATCGTTAACACCACGGATTACTACCGATTACCACCGATCTACGTCTACCGGCCGGGAAATGTGACCTAGGCATTAGCTGGATATATTTTGAAATATTATATCCAATTCTTATTCTTGAAAATAAACGTCGCGTAAATCAACGTCAAAATATCGCAACGTTAACCTAAACAATGCTACCTTTACAGCTATATAAAACATAGATAAAGCTCTGTACAGGTATATATTGGTAATTTCATAAAAATATACACTCTTTAGAGGAATATAATTAATTTTGACACGGGGCCGAATTTTGTGACAAGTGAACCAGGTTCTTATGAGAGGCTCCTTAAAAATATAGAGGAACCCAAAATAATCTCTGTACAAGGAAATATATGACTTAGTAATATAATATTTAAAAAAAGCGGAATAATGAATCATATAAAGTGTTTGAATTCCTTCTCTTATATGCTACTTTGTAAACACACATCCTTATAAGTACACAAAGTCTGTAAAAAAATCTAAAATGACGGAGAAGACAGCTCTGTGACTCAGATATATTAAAATACCGGAAAGTTTTGAAAAAAATACTTTTAAGTATGTGGGTCACGTAATTCCATTACGAAGAGAAAGAGAGATTGATGAACAGGATAGATACACAGACATTAAAATATGGTAATGGTTATAAGCTTTATCATTTTATTGTTTATTTTTCAATAAAACAACATAAAAAATGATTAGTTTAAATATTATTTTTCGTTGAATTAAACATTAAGATTTAACTTCATGAGTAAAAATTAGGTCTATGGCATGGATTTCAGTTCCTTTTTATTAGACTCATAAAGAATTCTTTTTGTATGTCATTTTTTGATTTTTCATTTTTAGTGAAATAATTTTAAATCTCGAATGAGATTTTTAGAGAATCTTTATTACATAGTGCCATTGTGCACCTCTTATTTAACATTTTTAATCAGAAACATATTTCGAGTTTACGATTTCAAAACATCGACACTGCCATATTGTAATAATTATATTGAAGAGTACCCATCTTTTATCCGCATCCTATACCAATGAATCAATTATAATGAAACCTTCACAAGCATTTGTTCTTTATTACATAATGCTATTATGCACCTCCTATTTTACTTGTTGGTGTGCCACTTGCTTCGGGTCTCTGAGGTCAAAAAATGGACTTTGCAGTTATAAACCGCGTAATATGAGAGGTGGGGGTTATCATTTAGTGAGCTCACTGTTCACAGTACCTCTAACTTTTTCTGTGTTTATTCGTGTTTACTTTTTAAATCTTTTAACATTCTTTCCTTTATTTCTACAATTTATTTCACATATCAATGCTAACTTCGCTTGATATAAAAATTATCCCACGTTTTAAACTATGGTAAATACCCTAACATACCCTACAAATTAGACAGTGATTCAATAAACAGTTAAGTCATTTAATTTGAAGGGCTTTAAGAATATTTAGAAGCACAATTTTCCTCCATTTTAAGTATATTTTAATTATGGACCCCCGTACCAGTGTAATTCAATGTGACCTGTGTGAGACCGTTGTGGTACAGATGCACTGTGATACATGTCTTGTCAACCTGTGTAAGGCCTGTGTGGGAGAACATACGATTTCCGATGAATCCAAAAAACATGAAATTGTTACAAACAGTCTTCGAAAATCCACTCCCCTCTACCCTGGATGTAATTTTCATATCAAAAAAACAATGTGCCATGATGTATTAAAAATTCTACGAGTTCTTGATGAAAGAAAGGGAAAAAATTGCCAAGAAACAAATGAAGCTAAAGGAGACGATATGCCCAACATACATGGCTATTGCCTCTGATGTACAAAACAGAATTAGTCAATTAGAAAAAGATTACGGATATCTCTCAACCGCCGTGATAGAACACGGAGATACCTTGCACAGAAAAATTAGCTTCATGCTGAAGTTCATGAGACGGAAATCAAACAGTTCAAATCTTTGCAGAAACATCTGGATGAAGTTACCTGTAAAATATCTGATATAAAGAATGAAATCAGTTTCATTGAAACGTTCGTTGATTCTAATGACACAACAAGACTCTTAGACATTAATCTTATACCCAATATAGACAAATATAAAAATCTTCCGCAGAAAATTTTGCCTTCTTTACCAAAATTTACACCTGGCAAAATCCTAGGAGAAGAGATCAGCAAACTTTTCGGCGTCTTAGCTCCGAGTTCTTTAACATTAGAAAAACATGACTAAAGCATGAGGACAACACAGAAATCATCAGAAGCTGGATCCTCTTCTCCAGTCATTCAGTTGCTTGATAAACCAGAGACTGTCACCACCATACACACTGGATATGAAAATCTACTCAATGTGGCCTGTCTGATTGATGAAGAAATCTGGGCAAATGGAACTGACAACACCATGAAACTCTTCAGCATCAACGAAGGATCACTACTCAAGTCAATCACAACCAAGTCAGGAAAAAAAACTCTATGACTTAGAAGTAACGAAAAATGGAGATCTAGTTTATACCGATCACATGGATAACACATTGAATATTGTGAAGAATGAAGGAATAGAAGGGATAATCAAAACACAGAAATGGGGTCCTTACAGTGGCTGTATAACGCTCTCTTTTGATTTGCTGGTTATCATGTACATGAATAATGTTCGAGAAAAACAATCAAAGGTTGTCCGTTACTGCGGCTCCACAAAGAAGCAAACGATTCAGTTTGATGATCAAGGTAAACCTCTCTATTCCACGGGTTTTTACTACAGACATATAACTGAGAACAGGAACCTGGATATCTGTGTATCTGACCATAAAGCTGAAGTAATAGTGGTAGTCAATCAGACAGGGAAACTGAGATTCAGGTACACTGGACATACTCCTTCTCCAAAGAACAGACCATTCAGTCCATGAGGAATCACCACAGACAGTCAGAGTCACATCCTTACAGCTGATGATAACAATCACTGTGTCCACATCATAGACCAGGATTGACAGTTCCTCTATTATATAAAATGTAGTCTGATTGATCCCCTGGGACTGTGTATAGATTCAAATGATTATCTGTTCGTTGCTCAGTTTAGAAATGGAAAAGTGAAGAAAATCAAATATCTGCTGTGAAACCATAACAAAGAAAAAACATTAAATCATGTTAATACCATAAGAAAATGTTACCATTTAATGGAAGCACTGTTTGCTGATGAAGTAATTAATTATGTCGCCCCAGACGAAGTCGGGAACGACATATTGCGATTGTACGCATGTTTTTTTGTCCAGACGTTTTCTTGATATAGTCTCTGCTAGTTTTCAAACGCAGTTTACCATTCCTATTTAAAGTTGTACAATTGTGACGAGGAAAAAAAAATATGGTCTTTTAAATTCCTTACACCTCAATATATAAGACATTTAAGCAAATCTACTTTGAATGTTTCATCTAGTCAGAAACAAAAGAAGATCCAACCTTAATATAAAAAAAAAATTATGATATTCGTTAATCAATTGAACTTTTCTATCGTCAACGTTCTTTTGTTATGAAACAATATACATGTACCATTCAATTGTTATATGGGGTTAATGTTTCTCAATTGATTCAATGTGCAAAAAATGTTCCATGGACGAAAAAATTTCAAACACGTGCCAAGCCTTCGACTAATAAGTTGATGAAATAAGAATATTTACTGTTTTTTTTTAAATATTATTTTGGAAGTTCTATGGTCGATACAATGGTCAATACAGTTTATCATTAAGTCAAATGCTGATAACCGTTTTTCATACAATGTTTTAGGCCATTATTTTTACATTGAATTTACGGATTTTTTTGTTTGCCAGATCATGATAAGGAGCACACAGCGAGTGTAAACAGTCGGCAGGGGATGCTCACTCCTCTATAGCACCTGATACCTCTGATGTTTTTTTTAAGCCCATGTTTGCTCTACTCCAAATTTTCAGTGTTTTCATGGACTTTGAGCTTGATTATTGTTTGAATCAAGCTAAAGATCCAGAGCAAGAGATGTGTGGAGAAACATTCAGTTTACAAAAGTCCTGTACACATAAATGATACATTAAAATTATTTTCTGGGAAATATTGAACAAGTACTAGTATATTCAAAACTAACAATATTTTATGATAATACTTTTTAATGCCAGGAAATTGAAAGGAGGAATTATTTCATACCAGTGTATTCAAAGAACATCAGCTGTAAGCAAGGCACAATGGATCTATGTGCCCAAGGACAAGAGGGAAGGTGTGTTTGGTATACTTCAGCTTTTCTATCACCAGCTTCCTTTTATGGAGTTCATGTCCCCTATATTTCCAGAGTCTGTTATAAAACATTTTTAGAAAAGCTATTTACAAATACCGGGTATGTTGATTTTTAGAACATCAATAGGGGTTACCTTTAAATGAAATTTATCAGCTGTCAGAAAGGTATCAGAAAAGCTGTACACATCACTCAATAAAATTGTAAGGAAAGATTTATATGCAGGTTGATTTTACATAATACCCTTTTAATTCACATTCAGAGTATTCTCAAGCAGAGTGCTACAGTTCTGTAGCTTTAAATGATCTTGCACTCACACATCTTTCTAAACAAAATTTCTTTTTCTTTCTTCCTCCAAAACATTAGAGATGGGATCAGGTGCCACGGCGGAGTGAGCATCCCCTGCCTACCGGTCACAACCGCCGTGTGCTCCTTGTCATGATTTGGGAAAAACGGCAAAATCTGTCGTCAATTCAGTTTTCAAAATAATGGACTAACAATTAGTATGAAAAACGTCAATCAACATTTGATCCAATGATAATTGCATTTACCGCCATGTGCGGTAAATGCCAGTTATCGAAGAAGAATAGCCTAAGCGCGATAACTCCCCTGTCCTCAACCAAATTTCCAAAATAGCCCCAAGCCTTAAATGCGCTTGCGCACACATCCTCTTCGCTCGACGATTTTGATCAGACAGCATCAACAGAAAAATCACCTCCAAGTTGCAACCCATTACGTGGATTACTATATTGTACAGGTATCGTTCCACCGGTCATCGGTATGTATTAAACATCTAGTGAAGCATTGGAAGCGAATTGGGCGTTTCCCTTGCCTCAGCACTTAAGATGTCAGCAGATTTTGCTGGATCAATATTCATCATCACCATCCGTTAATGGCGGCATGCCAAACGTTAAACAAAAGGGCTTTAACTCTACATATAATTTGACCATTCATAATTAGTAAACGATGTTAATAACTTACAATCTCAGATTCAAACAAAAAAAAATTAATAGTAAAAATTTATATAAGCAAATAATAATAATAATAATGAATTATGTACATGTTAAACACAAGTTACACAGTTGTTTGTTTTATAGAAACATGCTCCGTGCAAAAAGGACTACAAAGTCTCCATATGCCAGGCCCGGCCGAGCTCCAGCTGCCACCAAAAAGGCCAAAGCATCCAGGCCTACAAGCACCGTGACTCAACCGAACCAGGTCACCACTGCTACAAGCACCGTGACTCAACCGAACCAGGTCACTCCTGACGCCATACCTCCAGCCTTATCAAACCAGCCTACAACTTCCTCAGGAATAGACATCCCTGACCCCTTAGAGTTTGAGGCATCGCCAACAATGCTTTCTCCAGGTACTTCAGGCAGCTCTAATACATTATCTAATTCAAGTGCAACAACACCAAATTCATTATGTGGCGTTTCAGACGCATTGGGCGTCCATGTCCCAGACAACCTGAGACAAAACATATATGATAATGCATTCATTCACTTGCATAAATTACTTCCTCTCAAACCAAATGACGAGCCCCAGCAACAGCTCGCATTTGTTGCCGGCGAATTAGTGCTAAAGGCTAAGCATAAAGAAATCAAAATAACTTCAATTGAAACATGGACAAATGCTTTCCTCATTTTCAGCAGCATTTACTTGACTAAGTTCCCTGAACACATTCAATCAATCCTTAAATACATTAACATCATACGCACTGCTGCACAGCGATCATCAAACTTAAACTGGCTCAATTATGACATACAATTTAGACTAAAGCGCTCCAGGAACCATACTCTCGACTGGGGGTGTGTCGACGCAGAATTATGGCTCTTGTATGTGTCTCATGGCCACAACACTCTATCACAGCAAACCCCAAATTATACATCTAAATCGCCAAAATGCTTTGACTTCAATTACAAAGGCACATGCGGAAGACCATACTGCTCTTATCAACATGCTTGCATTAAATGCTCCAATAATCACCCACTCATAAACTGCCGCTGGCACAACAGTCAGGCATTTCGCACAGAAAACTTTCGCCCATCCCAAGCCGAACATCCCCGCCAGCCCCCAAGCAGATTTCAGAGTAGAGGGTTCCCCCCAAACCAACCAAGGCCTCTGGGACTTGGCCCCAACCCCAGTCAACGTTAACATCCTAAAATCAATGCTAAAAGACTACCCCTTGCAACATATTGCTCATGAATTAATCAATGGTTTTCAATATGGTTTCAACATTTGTTATTCGGGTATACGGGAATATCAAAAATCTAAAAACATGAAATCTGCACAAACAAATTCACAGCAGCTCCAAGAAAAAATTGATCAAGAGGTTAAATTAGGTAGAGTAGCTGGGCCGTTCAAGAATATCCCCATGTCAAATATCAAGTGTAGCCCAATAGGCATTGTTCCCAAAAAGCAAGGGGGGTGGCGTATGATTTGTAACTTATCTGCACCAGAGGGAAATAGTGTTAATGACTTTATAGACCCAGATCTCTGCACCGTTCATTATACATCATTTGACTCGACAGTAAGAATGATAAAAGAACTAGGCAAGGGAGCTTTGTTGGGGAAAAAAGACATTTCTAGTGCATTCAGACTCCTTCCTATTCGCCCCGAGGATTTTTCCTTGCTTGGTTTTTATTTTAACAACTATTATTTCGATAAGTGCCTCCCATTCGGTTGCTCTATAGCATGTGCTACATTTGAAAAATTTGCCACAGCCCTCCATTGGATTGTTCAAGATCGAGCCAATATTGACACATTAGTACACTACCTTGATGATTTCCTTTTTGCAGGCCCTGCAAACACCCTTGTGTGCAAAAACCTCATGCAAATATTTGACATAACTTGTGAAACGCTCGGCGTTCCTCTGTCAGAGGAAAAAACTGAAGGTCCTACAACTTGTTTAACATTTCTAGGGTTAGGGATTAATACCATCACCCAAACTATATTTGTCCCTAAAGATAAAGTCGACGCCCTTAAAGCCCAACTTCAAAACGTTGCCTCGCGTCGCAAAATTACTCTTAAAGAAATGCAATCATTAGTTGGATCTTTGGCATTTATTTCTAAGGCAATACCTGCAGGGAGAGCATTTTGTAGGCGATTTTATGACAGCCTATCACAGGGATACAAACAACAGCATTATATCACTATCTCAAGGGCACTTCGCGAAGATGTAGATATATGGCTTGAGTTCCTGTCCGACTTTAATGGCACAACTGTATTCCCAGATATTCACTGGTCAGATAAAGACACTATTCACATATCCTCTGATAGCTCTGGTTCACTTGGGTGTGGGGTCATATTTGGTACACAATGGTCCTACCTACAATGGCCCTCAGAATGGTCACAACACGATTGTAGAGATCTGACTTATCTGGAGTTAGTCCCAGTCGCCCTTGCAATATACATATGGGGCCACAAACTACAAGGCAGAAAAATAATCTTGCATATTGATAACATGGCTGTTGTCGAGATAATCAAACAAAAAACATCAAAGTCACCAAGAGTTATGTCCCTCCTCAGGCCTTTTCTTTATAAAATATTAAAATACAATATCCAAGTCCGCTGCGAACATGTACCAGGTCATTCTAATTCTATAGCTGATGCCATATCTCGTTTTCAGTGGCAAAAGTTCAGGAAGCTGGCCCCCCATGCAGACTATTATCCCTGCCAAGTTCCTCTGGAATTCTGGAACCATTTGAGCAGGACGTAGAACAACTACTCTCAGCATCAGTCTCTCATAGCACTCAAGAAATATACCAGAAAGGTCTTGACTCATTTGCACAATTTAGAAAAAAAATTAACTTAACAGAAGTATGGCCCCCTCCCATAGACCAATTAATTAACTATATTGCTTACCTATCCTCAAAGGGGACAACATACTCTACAGCCAAAACCTACCTAGCTGGCTTAAGCTTCAACATAAAACTTGGTAATTTCCCAGACCCATGCCAATTTTTCATAGTCAAGAAAATGCTAAATGGCTTTAAACAACTAAAACATAGAAAAGATTCAAGAAGCCCGATAACATTTCCCCTATTAGTCAAGTTAATAGACTCGCTGCAACATGTGTGTCGCAATTATTATGAAAAATTACTGTTCTCCTCAGCATATGGGCTCGCATTCTTTGCTTTACTTCGAGTTGGTGAAATAACCACCACTAGGGCAAATACCCACAGTTCCCCATTATCAATAGAAAATGTATCAATATCCCAATCATCCATTCAGATCACTTTAGGGAAAACTAAAACAGATCAGCATGGCAAGGGCACAACAATGCACATTAACAGTACAAAGCACAATCAAGTCCTATTCCACAACATTCTAGAGTACGCGACCCATAGACCATCACAAACTCAAACATCACAGTTTCTGTGCCACATGGATGGCTCACCCTTGACTTACTATCAATTCAATCAAATACTAAAGAAAGCTCTATCATTCCTCAAACTTGATATATCAACATTCAAATCCCATTCATTTCGCATAGGGGCTGCAACTTCATTGTATATGCAAGGTACTCCAGAGCAAGAAATCAAAACCATGGGTAGATGGAAATCCAACGCTTTTAAGTCATATGTTCGCCCTAATACTGTAGTCTTGTAGATAGTCAGTCTTACTAACTGTAAGCTAAGTTTGCAGGAACTCGCTGCAAGGTATGGATTGTTGGATCTTCCATCATCAGACGAGCCGAAGATTACTGCACACGTTCACCAATTGGCCAAAACTTGTCTCTGGAGCACTTAAACATAGATGTAACCTGGTCCGGATCTGGGGGACTAAAATGGGAGCAACTTGATCAACACATTGCTAGTTTGTTAAATCGCCACAATGAAATCATTCCTCAAGTTCTAATAGTTCACTGTGGTGGCAACAGTATTGGCATTCAGTCCCTTAAAAAATTACAAATAGCCATGAAATCATTATTAGACTCCATTCATAGAAAATTACCAAACACTCTTCTTGTATGGTCAAACATACTTCCTCGCAAATACTGGCGTTACATGATTTCGAGCGAAGCTGCAGAGAAATCTAGAAAAAGAATCAATAATTCCATTGGTTGCTTTGTTGTGCAAAAGTTAAATGGGGCCCTCATTCGTTACCCAGATATTAGAATTGATCAGCCCAAATTATTCCTCGATTGTGTTCATTTATCAGATCTTGGAAATTCTATTTTTACAACTACAATTCAAACGGCATTGTCCAAGTTTCTGACTTCCAGTCAAAAGGTTTTCCCCACACTCCCATAAAACACAGTATCTGTGCATGGCTTGTAAAAGAAACACCTTCACACCATCCCATATTCATGATAGTAGTCGCAATTGCACTGAGTTGCATTGCATCCTTCCCTCTCCCCTCCCCCCAGTTATGCTGATTGATGCTTTGATATGTTGTGTTATATTGCTTTGCCACATTATTCATTGATGATACCCTGCATATTGTTTTTGTATTGCTTTGAGAATCATTGCGTTGCTTAAGACATGATGTCTTGTTTGCCAAATTGTCCGCCACTTGTTGGCGGATGGATTGCTGTCTCGAAATTCGTGCACAGCAATCCACTTGGCAGAATTTTGCAACAAGCCATCGCTGGCAACTTCTGTTTACCCTCCAGGGTTGTCAGCACCATATGGCTCCGTTTCTGCAAACCGTAGGCGCCAAATGCCAGATTGAGGATCGGCGCTTACTCATTGACACTTGCAATAATACTTGATCATTGTCCATTGTTTGATACCATTGATTTATTATGTAATAACCTATCTTAAACAAAATAAAGCCATGACAGATACTGCCATTCTGAATTGCTTATTCTTTCGAGATAATTGCATTTACCGCCATGTGCGGTAAATGCCAGTTATCGAAGAAGAATAGCCTAAGCGCGATAACTCCCCTGTCCTCAACCAAATTTCCAAAATAGCCCCAAGCCTTAAATGCGCTTGCGCACACATCCTCTTCGCTCGACGATTTTGATCACCCAACCGCCCCCACCATTTTATGTAGATTAATATTCCTCATCTAATCCACACATTTTTTTTTTCCTTTACACCGATCATCCATAAAACTTGTTTACATATACCAGTCATCCATAAAAACTGCTTACATATATACATCACCCTATTCAGTTACGTACGCGGATATGCATACATATAGTATTTTTATCATAGGTATGTTAGGGCATAAATATTGTGCATTCAATTATTGTTAGTTTTCTCCTGTGTTTCTGCTGTTATCATTTCTGATTCCAGCGCAACATCGTCCCTCGTCATGGCTTTAGAGATCCTTCCAGGCTGCAATCCATGCCGACGAACTTCAGAATTTTGCAACAAGCCATCGCTGGCAACTTCTGTTTACCCTCCAGGGTTGTCAGCACCATATGGCTCCGTTTCTGCAAACCGTAGGCGCCAAATGCCAGATTGAGGATCGGCGCTTACTCATTGACACTTGCAATAATACTTGATCATTGTCCATTGTTTGATACCATTGATTTATTATGTAATAACCTATCTTAAACAAAATAAAGCCATGACAGATACTGCCATTCTGAATTGCTTATTCTTTCGAGATAACTTGTAATTGCTGACAAGGTCATTGCATCGGCCATAGAACTTACGAAATGATGACTTTTAACGAAACTGCCGCAATTCTTGTTTCATCAACTTGTTTGTCAATAATATACCTCCTTTTAGAAATTGTTCATACGTAGAGCATGCTCTTGCATATCGAATCAAATGAGATGAATAAACTTGCATAAGTAAGGGAAGTTGTCAATGACGATAGAAAAATAAAAGTCATCACGTTTATCATAAAGTCATGTTGTTCTACGAGATTACCATTAACGTCTTTTTCAAGTAATATATCCAAGTATGAAACAGATGTGTCAGACTCTGTGATATCTTTTATATCATTCTCACCGGGATATATCATTGAAATAAGAATGGAAATTACAATTGTTATTTATCATCGCTATATCTTGATGTCGAGTTGAAGTCCACAGCAAGTATTTTCTTCTTTTCACGCATAAGATTTTGCACAATTCTGCTTTATATGAATACAAAAATAGGTCTGCTAATAACGGGGCGCAATTGGGTACCCATGGGAATTCCATAGATTGTTGGAAAACCTGGTCACATTTCAAAATACACATAGATATTGTCAATCAGAAACTGAAGCATCTTTCTGATGTGAACTTTAGGGTTCTTGTGTGTACAATCAGAATGTATTTAACAAAATACATTGTAATTTTGCAAAATTACGAATGACAATGTAGGTAAATTTACAAGTTCTATTTTTATTGAAAAAGCAGCTGTCAATGATATCGAAAAGTCTGGACTTAAATTTATCGTTGGGAATGGTTGTGTATATAAAAAAGTTGAAAAGTCGTTTTTAAGCTGCTGATTTTGGAAAAATCTTGAGATTTTAAATGGTCCAAAAGTTCCTTGGAATTTTTATATAAATAAAAATATTCACAAAAATTTCCAAACAGTGTCTTTTCAATCCTAATTTAGGAAAAGAAATAAATAACCTTTTGAAATTTCGTCTGGTATCAGCCCTTTTATATCTCAAGGTGTTTACATAACAGTTTTTCAGAGGAAGTTACAATTGGGTTAAAAAAGATAAAACAAGACGTTTTTATTTAATTTGGCTGAGCACATTCGCTAATGGCATAAAATGGAAAATTTTATGAGAGTCTTTAAATTATAAAGAAAGCAAAATAAACTCTGTACAAGGAAATTTATATCATAATTATATATTAAAATATTACAGAAGCGGAATATGCTACTTTGTAAACACATACTTGCATTCCTAATAAGTACATAAATTATAATCTGTAAAAAATTAAATGATGAAGTCTGCTTTGTGACTCGGATGTTAAATAGCCACTCATAGACCAGGAAGTTTAAAAATACATGTAGGTTTGTGGGTCATGTGAAGAGAAAAGAGAGCTTGACGAACACGATAGACACGCAGACATCAAAATCAGGTAATAGTTAAAAGATTATTTATATTATTGCTCATTTTTCAGTTTAAAAAAGATTTTTTTTTTCAAATATAATTATTTGAGTATAATGTTACTTGGAAGTTAAAACTTAAAATGTGTTTAATTTTAAAGCATGAATTTCATTTCCTTTTTTGACTCATTAATAATTTTTCCGCAATGGAATTCATACTTATTGTAGTTTTGAAATAATTTTTGATCTAAATTTGCTTTTTTCCTTTGGATGATATTGTTAGTAGCAATATGCATTTTAAATTTTACAATTGAGGATGGGTGAAACATATGGAGATAACGAACGGTATTCAAGATCAAAAGTCCATAAAACAATACAAAACAGGAGCAGAGCAAACACGGACCTCCAAAACATCAGAGGTTGGAACAGGTGCCATGGAGAATGTTTTAGATGTGGAATTTTATCTGTGTATAAATAACACAAAGAAATTTCATGCATGCGATTTATGTATAATATACAATTATAGCCTTTTGTTGAGGTCAATCCCTCGATATATAGACCTAAGAGAAAGCATATCGACCGTGCTCGGTCGACATGCTTTCTCTAAGGTCTATATATCGAGGGATTGTACCGAATCAAAAGGCTACAATTGTTTTATTATTTTTTATCAGTAAATAAGAAATGTCTTAAAATCCTTCTTTCTAATACTCAGTACATTACCCTTTCATACAAGGAATTGTTATGTCATTTGCATTATGACGTCACAATCATGAAAACCAGCTGCAGTATCTGTTTTTAGAAATATCCAGTTTATAAAGACTATTGTGACGTCAGCACTATTGTTGCTTCACAGAAGAACGTTTCTTATTTTAGAAACAGCAGGTTAATGAATTTTTAAAATAGAAACATTCAGTCTGTAAAACTTTTTATACTTGGTCATTTGATCCAGTTTGAGCCAATCAGATAGTTGGAACAATAAAGAAAAATAATATTTTTGATTAATTTTGAATAGAAATGACATAATTGATAAATCCCTAAAATGTATTTTTTATTGTTTAATGTTCCTCTCGAAATCTTTCACTCGTATTTAACGACGTTCAATCCTGATATTTAAAGTCTTAAACTTTTTTTGCCAAGTATATTTTTAGTTTTTACATACATAGCATAATTAAAATTCAAATCAAAAAATGGGGGTCAATACGCTTCTTTTGGCCCTACAGTACATTTAATATGACCTTTTTGCACGGAAATTTGTGTCTTAATTAAAAATCAAATTTTTGACGTTTTCTTTCCAATATTTTTATCCAGTTAAAGCATGAAACAGAATGAACTCTAAGTTTGTTTAGAAAAGACACTTAAAAATTGTGACTAAGAAAAAGTTTTAAATTGCTTCGCACAATCAATAATTTGACCTTTCTGCACTAATAAAAAGTGATTTTTCTGGCACTGAAAATTTAATAAGCAAGAAAATTATTTTAAAGTCTGAAACTTTTTCTGATTTTAAGCAAAGAAGCCAAATTTATCTTGAATATTTAGAAAAGATCAAAAGCGGGGGTACATGTATATGATGTAAATTTTCAGATATCACTAAAAAAGTGTAATTTTTACGTTAATATTGGTTCAATTATTTCCCGGATTTTCAGAATATATTTACTATATTTGTCACACTTTGTTGATAGAATTCATAAATATTTTAATAGATATTTTCAGAACCAGCATAACACATTTAACTGCAAAAACAGCTTTTTGTGCAAACAGGAAGGAAAAAATAGGAATCCAAAATTAACAGTATTGTTATAGTTCAAAATGGAAAAATAAACCCTGATCATTTTCATGTAAAAAAACCTTCCGCCACAAATTATAGTCCCTATCTTAATTCTACTTGAATGGAATTTCTTGGCTTAAAAATCGAATGTTTATTGCGATTTCTAGTTTGTTTTAAAATAAATTTGTTGAGAGACACTCTGAAAGCTTGTTGGAAAAGCGCCAAATTATGACATTTTCCATATATTTTGTATTTCTGCCTTAGAGATTTCTTTTGATGAAAGTTGTAAGACGTCACTTATTTAGAAATTTCAAAAAAAGTTGATCCTCTAGGTTGGTCTAGGAATTATTGACAAAGTTTATTTCTTTACCCAATACCTCTAAAATTGTCATATTGCAGTATAAATACATATCGGTGTAGATGAATAATCGGTGCAGATAATTTGTTTTGGTTAAAAAAAAAATATCGATGTCTAGATTGCCAGTATGTTTCTTTTGATGTTCTGTCTTGGATACATAAGCGAAAAATGCAATTTAAATCAGATAACAAATTATTTACGATTAATATGAAGGAAAATTTAGGAAAATATTTATGTAGAATGATTAAGTTCAGTTTGATTTTCTCAGCAAATTAAACTTATTTAGTGACATAATTGGTCTATGATAAGCACATTTTAGTGGTTACATGTACATATATAGCCACACTTTGTAAACTGAAAAGTGATATAATAGGCCACTTGTACTGAATTAAATTAATAAAAGG